TCCCAGAAACACCCCCCCCCCCCCCCCCCAGAAACATCTACCCCACCTCCCAATTTGTAAGACGAATGCTCGCACGTGGGCCATGCAGAACATGCACAGGTGAGTACCATCATGGCCTTTGGATTGCGAATAGGCGGGCACTAAATACGGAGGACAAAGTCATCTCTACACCCCCCCCCCCCTCACCCTACGTAAACAGCCACCCCACGTCCCATGTTGAAATAAATAAAAACACTGATAATAATGTGCCGTGCAGTTTGTACTAGCAGTTATAACCGCTTGGGGTCGTCCGTTGCGGACAAGGTTGCCGCGTGAATGCACGTATGCACACCATAATGTACTTGTATGTGCATGCGCGTGTGTGGTCTTGTGCATGCGTGTGTGTTCTTGTGTGTGTTTGTGTGTGTTTGTGTGTGTTTGTGTGTGCGCGTGTGAACTCTGCCAATGCATCCCTTCTCTGCATGCAGACGGATTCACGGCCAGAACTTTGAGTATGCACCTCAGGTTATGAAAGAAAGTGAACCACCAAAGGAAGCACTCGGCTTGCCGACTGTGGAAGTATAAATGAGTGATAATCTCTTTGTCTTGTGTGGAATGATGACAAGTGTTGCCCGGTCTTGACAAATACCTTGCAATTACCTGTGAATGCATAAAGCCACAGTGTGTAGAAAGATGGACAATCACACGTACCTATGCGTACACGCATATATGCACCCCCCCCCCCCCCCCACCCGGGCCCCCACACATACACCCCACATTCCTACACGCTACCATTCGTCTCCACACTACTATTCGTTTTTGTTGCCGTCCTGTCATTAATTAAGACAACGTTTCCAGAAAATCCGTATTTCCTGTGAATTGTTCTGCTTCAGAGGAACTTTGAGATTTCATAATCATTTTAAAAATTAATTTTATTTCTGCCTTGTTTCAGTATCAGGATAATTGTACATTCAGAATTGTTTTTATAAATCGAACCGCGGCTTGTAAGAACTTGTAGGACTCGTGATCTGTATTTGTGGTGCGCATCAAACAGTGACAAACACCATGAAACTAAGAACACCAGTCCTGTGTTCAAGGAGTGTTGTTTTCTATGGGCGAAATGTGCTGTGACTACATGACGGTTTTAGTCCCTAGCTGAGACACCTGCCAGCCAGCAGGTGTGCACAGCTTTCATCTGTTTGGGCTGTTTTAAAAGCATGCCGTAGTGTAATGTGTAAAGGTCTGTCTCGTATTCAGGCCAGTTTTTGTATACAAGCCTGATTTTCAAGATGCACTGGTGCCACATAAGTCTGGATTTAGTGTTGACACACATAGAAATACTCGGTTTGAATGGAAACAGAAGCCTAGATAAGCACGGACCTCAACTTCTTCAGGATTATGCCCAACTATGCCACATTATGGTACAGGGGTTATTATTTTGATAGAGTTTGGGTCGGAAATTACTTGCTTATTACTGAGTCCTGATGACCCATTGCGCATTGCTAAATTAATATAGAATGTATGAATAACGCTTGTGAGTACGCTGAGATCAGGAATGCACCATTCAACACCCCCAGGCCAGACGACCATGCTCAGGTGGCTGTGAACTTATGAAGGGTGGTTATGGTACAAATTACGTCATTGCGCAAGGGATCGGGTCTCCCGGTGCCCTGACTATGTACAATCATGCAGCTGTTCAGTTTTCGTGAATGAAGCCGTACAAGCTGACATCACAAAAGAAGGAGGAATTTCGGAAATATTATGAATAAGTGAACACTAGAAAGGTGATGGAGTACAAGAAAGTTTACAATCATAGAGAATCCTGAACGCAGAGAGCATGGTATTTTACTTGTAATAGTATTGCAATTGTGAGCGTTGAATACTCGTAATAACCAAGTGAAAGAGAAAATCCAGTTATTCGTGAAAATGAGCATGTTACTTGTTCGGCATGATCATCGACAATGCGTCATGACGTCATGATAGTGCTCGAACTAAACTTTCAGCATAGTATAGGAGGGGGGGGGGGGGTGTAAGAGAAAGAAACACTGAATGTGGGAGAGAGAGAGAGAGAGATTGAATGTTTATTGGAGAAATTGCACGATTTTTTTCGAAAGGTTTTCTTTATAGTCTGGCAGCTGGTGGTTGAAACAAGCAGGCCGGCACAGTGAAGCCTGATTGTAATAATATGAATGGCCATGCGTATGGTGACTGGGCGAGATCACTAGCGGCACCCATGTACACAAGTAAAGGCTTTAAAACTCTACTTGATAGTGGCAGCTCTGGCTTGTCCAAAGGCGAGAATCATTGCGTTTGTGAGGGTGACGAATGCCGCAGGTTCAGGCACGCCGTAGAGCTTCAGCTGCGCCTTCGCATCGGCTTTGCTGGGATCATCAAAGCCAGTTTGGGACACCAGGCGAATTATGTCCGCCTTGTTGGCGGCGGCGGCCCATACTGCAGTATCAGCTTTCAGCTAGCAGCGGATGCACGCAGTTGATGTTATGAATGTGACCGTCGCGTATAACACACACACACACGCACACACACGTATACGCACACACACACACACACACGTATACGCACACACACACACACGCATACACACACGCGGACACACACACACATGCGCACATACACACACACGCGCTCACGCAGGTAAACACGCATAAACATACGCACATTGGCAAACACATCAAAAATCTTGTCATGGAAAGAAACAATGTTCGGCAAAGTCAAAACCGTTAGATAGGTCATGTGCGTAGTATTTTGTGTTGAGGGATAAGACGTTAGAATACGGTCTGGGAGACTTTGGAGGGGGTATCATTTAGGACTTTAGCTACCATAGGACGGATTCATTCGCATGACTGCAGGGTATACTGCAGATTAACACTTTCATTTAGACGAGGCCAATGCGAAGATGAAATGGGTCGTAACAACCTTAAAAAAAGGCTTGGAGATGAGATGGGACGCATTCCACTGAACCGCCCAACTAAAACTGGTAGGCTGGCATGATGCCATTATAAATCAATTATGCCGATACATACACATCAAGAGCTGAGATGCAGAACCCGAGAGGCGCCAAATTTATGAATATCTAAGTGGACACAAATCTGGATTTAGATACATTACCAGCCGAGCATAAAATGAATCTCTTTTTTGTCAAAATCCGAAAACTGACGAAATGGACTTAAAGGTTTTGTATTCCAGCTCTTCAGTCAAATACGTGTACTTTAAGTATAATTAAAATACCTTTGCTAGAGCTGCAGCGTCGATTGTTGCTAGCGTGCCTCCAGCTGCCGTTAGAGCAGCATTCTCAGTATCTTTCAGCGCTCGAATGCGCTCATAGGCGGTGAGATAAAGCATCGCTGCGTCGTATGCGGCTCGGAGGCTATCCCAGTCTGAACTCAGTTCACCATTGATCTGAAGTCAAATCAACAGGCAGCGAAACGGCCCAAAGCAATTAAAAATTGAAATTGTCGTACTCATCACATGAAGAGCCAAATATGGAACATAAGCGTGTGGCTCTAGATAGTCACTTGCTTGAATAATTGAAAAGACCCAGCCCATCAAGACCCATCAGAAACGGATGGAAGAAGTTGATAACCAGGTTGGAAAGAAGGAGCACAGCACAGTAAAATAGTGGAGCTGATTCATCCGTCGAAACCCTCCGGATCAATCTATTGCAGTAGTATTCGCTTCACGAGCCTTTTAAAATTAAGTTTGGTATGTATATGTGTGCGTGTGCTGGTGTAGCTCTCCGATAGCACTGCACAAGTTACCCAGGGCAGCATTTTGTCGGACCTAACCTCCCTTACCACATAATGTATGAATACAGTATGTCTCTCTTGTGAAATTCTCAAACGTTACGCCTGCGGTGACGAGAATTGACGAATTTCCTTGCTACATGGATAGCCTAATGCAGTGTTTTACCTTCCCTGATTCCCTCATCATCAAAACACTTTCCTGGCATATCAACATACTGCTGCAGTAGTATAATCATGTACTGGTATGTGTACGTGCGTGCGTTTATGTGTCATTTCAATAACGTTTTTCCTCCGGCAATCCCAAGCACACTGGTACCGTTGCAGAAACCAGGAAAGACGGTTGGACCACCTGGAAATCTGCGCCCTATTGTCCTCCTTACATCATTACGCAAAACGCTCTCCATTATTACATTGCGAAGAATATCGTCGAAAGTCGGTGAGTACTTGTCTCCGACGCAGAGTGGTTTCAGAGCAGGCCGATCTACAGCGGACCTTGTTTGGAGCCACAGATGGTTTGCAGCAACATGTCAGCATTATCGGCGGGAAATGACCATTCTTGGAATCGACATGTCCAAAGCATTCGACTGTATACGTCGTGACAAACTGTTGACAGTTCTTGAGTCTTTCCTGACGGAGGATGATGTTCGGCTGGTTAGAGTGCTGTTGACCAACACAACTCTGCAGGTACGCATCGGCAGGGCAGTATTAGAGTCCCTTCACTTGAAACTACAATTGGCACCCCGCAGGATGATTCTCTCTCCCCGGTGTTGTTTGTTATATACTTAGAGGCAGCACTGAGAGATCTGAGGAGCACCCAGGTGGCACGAAACAGACCGCCAATGGATCAAAGCATCAACATTCATTTGAGCTTGTCTACGCAGATGACACCGATTTCATAAGCCTTAGTCGTCAATGGCTCACAGAGCTCGAACCGGTCATAGACCACACTCTCGGGCAGTGGGCCCTGAGAGTCAACAACACCAAAACTGAGTGGACAGAGCTGGGTCGATCTGTAGACAGAATTGACGAGCGCTGGAGGACATCCCGAAAGCTGGGCCCACTCCTGGGCGACATTGAGGATGTGACACGTCGCAGGCAATTGGCCGAGGCTGCCTTCCGATCCATATGGTATCTTTGGAAGCGCCGAGGACTGATTCGAGAGCCTCTGCGTATGAGGTTGTACTGCGCCTTTATCATGCCGATACTTCTCTATAATTCAGGCACCTGGGGCCTGACGGTTGCTAGCGAAAGCTCCCTGGACGCTTTCCATAGAAGGCAACTCAGGTCACTTCTCGGCATCACATGGCCACAGAAGATTAGTAATTTGGCGTTGTATGTCCGATGTGGAGTGGAGCCGGTGTCGGACTTGATCCGAAATTCACGCTGGAGTCTATTCGGGCATGTGCTTCGCCTGGGTAAGGACACGCCAGCACGATTGAGCATGGAGCAATACTTTCAGGCACCCGAGGGGAGGTACCGTGGGAGGCCGAGGGTGACACTACCAATAAAGCTCCACACCGATCTGTCCCAGTCGAACAATGGGCACCTGCGGAGTGTTGAGGACTTGCGCCGTCTGGAGCGGATTGCTGTGGACCGTCCAGCATGGAACGCGCTGGTGAAGAGTGTTTGTGCACACCCTCGCCACGAGTAGAAACAGCCATGGCACCCTTATAAACTCATAACAACCATTCTATAATAATATTACTATTTGAATCTTTTAATAATTATCTGGCAACTCAACCTCATACGTATAATTATCTGGCTACCCATTGACCATGATGCTACATGAGGAGACAATAGTGATGACATTTTTCCAATGAGACCAATTGTTTGACGCTCCATGTTACTGAAGGACTAACTTCGATCATTGGTTTTGTAGAGCCCCATTCTCTAGGAGCTGTCTACATCTGCTTTGTTTCAATGTCCAGCATAAGCGAACGTGTGGATCAAGCATAACTGCTTGGTTGACGCTGCCGCGGGAATGCGTATAATAATAATAATAATAATCCCAAGCAGACGGGCAATTCCTGACCTTCTCCGTAGCCGCCAGGATTGCTCCCGTGACCGTGTCTATACAGGTGCAGCAGAGGTTCTGCGCTTTCTGCAGCACCGTCTCCGAGTCGATCTGGCTGGCTTCAGCCGCCATCTCGGCGCTGGCAGCCTGCAGAGGGAAATACCCCGATCAAGAAAGCTAAATTCTTGCACGATTAACAGGACTACTTCTCACTATAAACCCCATCTCCGGAAAGCCTCGCCCAACTGAAAGTAGGGAAGCCTACAGAGAGACTTTTCCCCTAGTTGCAGCCTGGTTGGATGATATCGTGCTAAAACAAAACCTGAATTCTAAAAATGAATCCGCTGCTGCTACGCCTTGTGGGGCAATGCAATGCCGCTACAGCACCCATTCCGTCAGGGCTGAAGACAGAGAGAAGACACACGAAAACATCGGGTATCGCTAATGGCATGTATGTGTATGTATTGTGTACAGCAGACCTCAGTGTATACACAGTCAACTTTGCGAATAACAACCTCGGATATACATGTAACAAAATCTCGGGAATAAAAACCTCGGTTATAACAACATCTCGCGAATAACAAACTTGGATATAACAACACCTCGCGAACAACAACACTATCTTCAGACCGAGTAGCCACTTGACTCCAGGCTTTTAACATATCGTGAATAAGGACAACTCGCGAGAAACAACGCTTTTCCCATGCACGTTCAAGGGTCATAATCCGCAAGTTTAGTGTACTACTGACGGAGACACCATACTCGTTCCCGGTCACCTGATCACGGGTATAGGTAGCGAGTTCCTCGGCCACAGAGGGGAGAACATCTTCAGTTTTAAAAGGAGGTTACTACAGTTCACCATATAAAAGATGAGATGATATGAACAAGAACAGAAATCATGCGAAGGTCCCTGGTTTGAGTCCTGGTGGTGACAGTCAATTTTTTCTTCAGACCTTTCCATTTTTCATTCCCTGAACCCCCGATGCCCCTAACCTCACTGCTTCCCTCTCTGTATCTCTCTCTCTCTCTCTCTCTCTCTCTCCTCTCTCTCTCTCTCTCTCTCTCTCTCTCTCTCTCTCTCTCTCTCTCTCTCTCTCTCTCTCTCTCTCTCTCTCTCTCTCTCTCTCTCTCTCTCTCTCTCTCTCTCTCTCTCTCTCTCTCTCTCTCTCTCTCTCTCTCTCTCTCTTTCTCTCTCTCGCTCTCGCTCTCCCTCTCCCCCCGCTCTCTCCCACTTTGAAATTTGCTTCCATAGAAATTGGCACCATTGCCCGTTTGGCCTTGCGAAGTACTTCGAAGTAAAACAAGAATAAACAAGAAGAACAACTTGTGAATAACAGAAAAGAAATGCATGTAATCATCATTATTAATAATAATTACACGGTGTATAATTGTGTTACCTTCAGGTCGACCAGGGCCTTAGCTCCATCCGCTTCTAACTTTATAGCGTCGAATATCGCGATGAGCTTGCTCCTGTACTCAATGCCGGGACCCAGGGCATCGTTTCTCAGAGCTACCAGTTCGTTCTCCAGGTCTCGGAGGGTCAAGCTCGACCCGTTGCCCATTGCGTCGCTGTAGCGCTATGGCGGCGGAGACGAAGAAGAACTAAAAAGATTGAATTTCTACTCTTGTCTCACTGGATATGTGGAGATTCTCGGTGAGGATTGGAGGAGCAATCCACAACAATGCTAACATATTGCCTGCAGGGTTTGACGTTCAGTCTATCTACCCTTCAAGCTACAGGCTGATCGCACCTTTGTGAACAACAAGTTGAGGGGAAGCTATGGTACCAGTCCAGGGAGGCATTGTTGACGATTGTGATTCGTACTACGCGGACATTCACCATGTTCACTACCTCTGTATCCTGTGCCGGATGTCTCATTTTTATGTTGCTCACTGCGAGATATCCTGGAGATAACATGACGACATGGCGCTGAAGCCAGTGCAGGTAGACGCAGACGTAGATGCAGAGGAACCAGCTTGCAGGCAGCTCCCTGATACCTTCCTATCCTAAGCTAAGGTCGGGAAACTGTAGTCTATATGAAACAAATCCTCGCCTTAGTTCCTGGTTATCCACTCGGCTGGCCTAGTGTAAAATGCTGGCTACTGAAATCCGACCCCTTAGCGATGCGTTCACATTCTAGCGGTCTCTATTTTCGTAGTTTCACTATCCCGTGTTGGGTCTTTGCAATGTGAGCGCACCGTTCAGGGGTCGGATTTCAGTTGCCAGCACGGTACCTAACCTTACATTACTATTCTTCTTTTACAGTGAACTTCGCTTATAACGACACTCGGCGGGGCATCAAAAAATTGTCCTTATTCGCGAAGTGTCGTTATACCCGAAGTCTCATTAAATGTATTACAGTGGGATGGGACTTTGCTCTGGGCATGGAAATTCTGTCGTTATTCGCGAACTGTCGTTATATCCGCAGTCGTTATTAGCGAAGTTGACTGTATTCCACGATGGCGTGACGCCAATAAGGATGATTGATAAGTGCAATAGAACTGGTACTACTACTAGCACGAAACAGCTACAAAAAATTAACCTTCTATTCACATCACACGTATGCGCAGGTGCATGGATAACCCCGGCCCCGGAACATGATGTTCATAAGCACCTCACTCACCGCCACTGGCTGATGGCTACCGACTTCTACGGATGAACTCTAGATTGTGGCACGGGTCATGTTCCTTGGTTCGGCTATGCTGATGATATTGAGCTTCATTTACATTTTAATATTAGTTTGTTTCGTTTGTTTTGATTTCTTGGTTTTTCACCCAGTTTAGTTATAATTTAAATATATTATTTCGTGCAGCTTTAGCGCTATGTGGTTTACAATTTCCCTTTTTCTTAATTTCGTATTTAGCGCTTTAGGGCGTCATTATTTTCCTTTCATTATTTCGAACCAAGTTATTATTTTTGTGGGTATTTTCAAACTTATGTTTGTATATTAAACTCGGATGGAGAGCCAAGGATTAAAATTAAAAAAGAGGACCATAAGTTTACAAGTTATCCGTTTTGTCCAACACTAACGGTTATAAGCAGAATACTGTTGAGTCAAATATGTGCAACAATTTGCACAAAACCTGACTGATAAGATCATGACATTCAACGACCTGATGCTTAGCTGCATCACGTCTAGAATGCGCAAACCAGCAGCCTTCCAACTAGGAAGGTTCTAAGTTATGAAGTTACGTAAGAAAGGGGAAGGTGAGCGCACTCTAGACGAAAACAAGCTAAACATCACAGCGAACTAAGAAGGTTAGCTATGATAAGATGGTGATGAAGGACGAAGGACCACGGCACAGGACAGCCACAGCTCACTTCGGAAAAGCGAAACAACGACCACCCAACTTGGGAGGCTCATGTTATCAGGGATAAGCAAAAGAGAGGAAGTTACGCGATCACGAAGCAAGACAGATTGCACATTTTTGACTCAACAGTATTCTGCTTATAACCGTTAGTGTTGGACAAAACGGATAACTTGTAAACTTTTGGTCCTCTTTTTGAATTGTGGTTGTTTTGTAGTTGTTCTTGTGCAACCCTCCCCCCCCCCCCCCTCCGCCATTTTCGATGCCTAGTTGCAACGCTGACGTCAAGACCTCTGGTCGGTTGAGTTGCTCCCAGCATATCGGCACGTCGTCCCTACATTCCCTTTGTTTTGTCCTTTTCCTCGTTTCTTTTTGTTCTCTTGGCATATCTCATGACGTGAGATATGCCAAGAGTGCACATGGATAATGATGGGGCCGCTGTCCACCCATGTAGCATTAGTGGCGATAATTTTCATTTTATTTTTTACGAAAGTCTACTATATTCCCGAATATGTGCGAGAAGTGGTAGCGGGGCCAGGCTGCTCTGCCGACCTTAAAGGTCTCGGCGTCTACGCACACAAAGCACACCATAACTGTTTTAAATGCAGTAAAACCATGAGGAGTGGAGGAGGAGGGGAAACGAATAATAGTGAGGAACGAGGACAATGGGTAGATGGTCGTGAGAGAAGTAGAGTGAAAGATAACATCACATTGTGGTAAGGAGGGAGGGAGGATGCTATTGAGGGCGCTGCTCTAAACCATTTTCATAGGGCGTCGGTGGCTATTTGCCAATGATGACATTATCATGCTAAGCTGGCGAGCAGGTGCCGCGAAAAACGAGCGCAGAGCGCATCTGTCCTACAGATCTCCGCCGTCGCCAATTTGAAATGTTATCTGGAGGTGAGTGTTGTGAATGTGCACGGGCTGAACGGTGGCCATAGCGTGAGAAGGTCATAATACGAATCATGCATGCACGAGACTTTACCCAAGAACCAGTATTTATGGGTTTGCCGCAGCGATCACCGCCATCCTGTTCTCAGAGTAAGTCGTGATCACGGTCGCCACGAAGGTCTTGAGCGCCGTGGGTGAAGACAAGGATAGATTGCTCAGCGCTGTGGGTATCTGATCGCTAGCGAGACGTGGATCCTTGTAGGTTGCATCAAGAGCCAGCGTGGTCAGATTTGTCTTCTGTGTGGGCCAGGAGTTACTCCCGGTGTCCGTTTGCAGCTGTAAGGGAAGTCAGAACACGCATATGCACACACGCAGTCACATATGCACGCACATACATACGCACACATACACAAACACATCCAAACACATGCTCACTCACGCACGTGCGCACGCACTCGCACATCGACACCGAATCCCATCCGTACGCACACACGCGTGAACACACACCTAGAACAAAGAGCACTGTATAGAATATCTACGTTGCGTGTGTTTGCGACTCTGCCTGAATACGTGTGTATATGTGTGTGCGTGCATGTGCGTGTGTGTGTGTGTGTGTATGTGTGTGTATGTGTGCGTTTGCATATACCGGGTAATAGAAGGTACAGTCGACTCCACTTATATCGAACTCGCATAATATAATATATAGAGAATTTCATGGCATTGCGAACCATTGTGCTTGCTTGAGCGATACCACATAATTAGCTTAGACAAAAGATATCATACTAAGTCCATATTCTTCGTATTCCGTTGCATCCACAATATCTGCAGTTCACTCCTCTCTGACATGTTCTCCCTCCGCCGTGACTGCGCTCACACAGATAGCGTAACCCGCGGCCAAGTCAATTATTCCCTTTCCTTACCCATTGTGCAAGCTCAAGCTGGATACAGATCTATTTCATTCCTTGGTGCTGACCGCTTTAATGCGCTTCCCGAATCCCTTCGCACAAATCATATCCCCAATTCATTTCGCCAGGAACTTAACAATTTCATTCATCTTGGGCACCCTGTAAGAAGACCTTAGGGTCTGTTGGGAATGCCCAAGAAAAATAATAACATACAATACAATACAATACAATACAATTGTCCTTGTCCTTGTTTGAACCCATTCAAATTGACTCTTTATAGCGAACAGGCTTCGTTTATAACGCACCAAATCGTGTAGGGCTACATATAAACCAATTGCGGTCTTACTGTCCTGTGGAATAATTATGTCAGCCATGATTTGTTTCTTGTATTGTGAGTGCATTTCTGTTATAACGAACTATAAAGAACTCTTTATTCGGCACAATGGTGTTCGTTATATCAGGAGTCGACTGTATACATGTCTTTAAATCGCAGTACATGTACTGACAGAAGGCTTCAAGTGGACCAGGCATCATGACTTTGCACATCTATCGTTATGCTGCTTCATTACGCGACCTGTTTTATTATTATTATTATTATTATTATTATTATTATTATTATTATTATTATTATTAACTTGAAAACAGAGCAGAACCGAGGAGAAGCAAGAGACTAGCAGAGGCACGACTGAGACAAGTGGAGAACACAAGGCAAGGAGACGCAGGAGGAAGCACAGGCACGGCACAGAACGAATCAAGGAAAGGGAAGCGGTGTCGCGAGGAGATGGAGACTGATGACGACGAATACGAGTGCGATGGGATGGACGGCGGCATTGGAATGGAGGTGGAGGATGAGAGTAGTGATGAGGAGGAGTTTGATGTTGACAAGAGGAAGTCTGCAGTGTACAAGCATTTGGTGTCCAGTCCAGAATGTCGTAAGGTGTTTGACGATTCCCGGTTTAGTGTTATTCGTTGCGCACGTTTCTTCAAGCAATTGCAGGTGTTGGAAGCTGTGTATATTCGTACTCGTGACCCTGTGCTATGTAAACAGAAAGAAAACGTTGTATCACTCACACTCTTCAAGTAATACACACGCACCATTACATTCATTCACACAGTATCACATTCATCTGCCACTACCTTTCTCACATACACTATATTCACACATTGCAAAGGTGCAAACTTCCCTTTTTGTACTTGTTAGCTGCTGTATTTCTACCTGAAACCATATTAGCTACATGTATATAAGTGTGTGTTTTAATTATTACATTTTTATGTGACGGCGTTCCACTGATGACAGTCACAAGAAAACGTTATGGAACTTGACTTTCTTCATTTTTGCTGTTGTTATGAGTGCACAATTTATCTTATTTATTGTCATTTTACGACTATTGTCTCCTCGTCGATTGTTTAAATTTTTCTTCACTTGTTGTCTCACCCTAAGTGTCTGCAGGTGTATGATGATTTTAGTTTTTCTGTTCTTTGTCGTGCACGGTATGCTAGTCAGTTGAAAGTACTTGAGGCTGTTTGTATTCGTTTGCATAAGCCTGATCTTTGTAAGCAGAAGAAACATGTAGTTGCGTTAAAATTGTTTTCGTAGGTGCACAACATGATTGTTTGTCTCACTACATAGTTTTAGCGTTATAATTATTAGTTTTTCACCCACCGTTGCACTTAGCTCTCACTTCACTGCTATTGTCTCACCTTCCCTCTTTCTATTTTGTCACTGTATTTTGTTCTCGTAACACATCATTGAATGTATATTTAATCATTGTTCAGCATGGTTACTCTTCAGTCACGACTTTCCACTGATGAATGTGACAAGAAAATTAATTCTGGTAAACTTTCATGACTTCGTTGTAGTGTGGCGATGACTGCAGAATTTGTTCTTTTTATTGCTATTATAAAATTATTATTATTATTATTATTATTATTATTATTATTATTACTGTAGTACATGTTTGAAACTCGGGTATTGAGCCAATAATAAAAGTAGAAAGGAAAAGGACATAAGGATACGAGTTAATTGCCTTCCCCTCTTTGGTCTTTCCATGACCTTGAACCTTCCAAGTTGGAAGGCTGTCAGTTAGTGCTACGGAGATGTGTTGAAGCTAGGTGTCAGGACGTCGAATGTCTCAGTACTCTTGTCAGTTTTGTGCCTAGTTATTGCACTTTCTGACTGTATATAGTATCCAGTTACAGTGATGGAGAGTTACTCTTAACTCGTATCCATATGTCCTTTTCCTTTCCACATTAGTACATGTACTAATCCATTTAAGGCAGATACACCAAACCACTGTCATATTAATTAAGTTTGTCTTATAGCCTCCTACTTAACAATCCCCGCTGTCACTTAGTTTGCTGTTGAGGCTGCATCACTGCCTGTCTGCTTGATGGAGTAAAATCAAACATATCCTACCGACGCTCTTAGGATGGCAATCATGAGTCAGTCAAGTGTCAGGTTAGGTTAGGTCCCTGGGAAATGCGCGAGCTCCGGTGTGGGAGTGTCCAACTTCCTTATGCAGTGTTCTGATGTTACACTAGGCACTGTGACCCCTGTACTTACACTGGCAACATTAGCGTCTGTAACTTTCACTTGTGTCACCGAAGCTGGCGTGTCAACAGCTGCCAGAGCGGTAAGGTAGATTTTAGTGTTCTCAATCTTGGTATTGAGCGGCTTCAAGAGGTCGTTCAAATCGGCGTATACCTGCGGGATACCAATCAGAGAATACGTGTATCTGAGTGTTTATGCATTGAATCAGGAGAGTGGTGCGTAGGGACAAAGCAGAAAGCAAGAGGCGCGCGAAAAGCAAGGACATTAACCCTGTCCAATATAAGAAAATGAAGCAACTATCCACGACTGTAACAAGACACTATGTCGTCAGAATAGTTACTTGCTTCATAAATCGTTCCCATGTTTTTTCTTCTATTTTTACATTTCGTTTGCTCAGTATCCGAGTTACACTAACTGTCCTTGGCATTGCTCTAGAATATCTTTATTTTTGAACTTTCCAAAGCCTTCTCGTCAGAGGAATTATCGGCAAGTTGAGAATATGAAGTGACAACAAAACAAAAAAGGTTGTCCATCAGAAATAAGTCTCGTTTCAATCAATCAGACTTCTCAATGCAAGTATGTACGTCGGAGTACAATCCTTTTCAATACCTGAAACTTATGAGAAGAGTGTGTTGCTCCCTACATGGGAGCTCGCGGTTTTCCTGCCGACTTTTTTTCCATGCACCGACAGTTCTACACAGACACTGTGGGACCTGGTTCTAAAGACCACCTGGATTTAACGACCGCTTTTGCTTGCACCGTGGGGTGGTCGCTTAAACCAGACTTTACTGTAACACAGCTAAACCTCCAGTGAGACTAACACGTTCCGCGCACCGGTACTGTAATTTGATTATGCCATGGAACAAGGCAGGAGTACTATAAAGACAACGCCCTCGTGCATGTACCAGTATCTTGCTATTACACTTCAAGGCAATGTAGACTTGAGCCTACATTTAGGAGACGCTTCGAGTGTTTGTCCCCAGAAAACAACGTCTCCAATACTTAAACAGTCCCATTCGACCTGTTATCGACAAACGCAACTTTTAGCCAGAAATAGGACATCAAGAAATGGATCTACTACTCCGGAACTGCTCACTCACCCTCTCATAGGTTGCGTTGATAGAATAAGCGTTCAACAAGCAGTTCCGATCCAGCAATAGCGGCAGCTGGCTGGCAGCCCCAGTTGGTAGCGGGACCGTTTGTGAGATTCGGTACGTTGCGCTCTCCTGATTGTTGAAAACAATCATATGACACGAACTTAGTACTCACAAAAGACACTTGGGCGGGGAGCTACTACAGTATTAGCGTGGAAAGCAGGTGCTTATGAGCGAATACACATGTAGAACATGCTAGAGTGTTAGAGTTTACAAGATTGGCTCTGGGGTCCAGTTATTACAGCTAGGGACCGGCGGATTATGCTCAAAAAGGTGGCAGATTCTGCTCGAAAAGCAGAAATTGGCAGAACCATACAAACCTGATGGCGGGCAATTCCTCGAATTCTGCTCCATTTCTTTATCCACATACCAAACATGCATGAAACTTACCAGAAAAAGTACCGAATTCTGACAATTTTTCTGCCGACAGAATCCGCCGGACCCAAATTACAGCAGGTCTTGTGAAACAATGTGTGATGCCTATAGTATACGTATAAACACTTGTAGTTGAATGACTTCCGGTACATATATGTATGTATTATGTTCTAACACTTGTAACAGTATATACTCGTACGTTTATCGCGGCCAGTGCGGCCGTCGTCGTCGCTGTGCTATTGACCGTAGCCAACAGAGCATCGATTTTCGTATTCCGATCGGTCACATTGGCCCTGGTGCTGCTGTTCCACTTTTCAAGGTCGGCATAGATGTCCGGGTAGAATTGTATGTTGCCCATCCTGTAGCTGCGTGGATGCTCGCCGCAGCGACGCTATCAGAGGAGCAACGTGGGTGGTCAAATGAGCAAGACTGCGCGACACGCAAGGCAGTGATGTCCGCTGCTTCGTGCAATGCCTTGGTTACGTTGCACTGCCTGATTGCACTCTCCCTGGTTTTCCGAAGCCCTGGAAAGCTTGGTTAGAAGCGCTGACGTCGTCAGTGGCCAACTTTGGCTATTGGATATATTTCCAGGGAAATGACAATGGACTAAGAAACCTCAGGGTGAATAGTTAGTCTCAGAAATGCGTGTGCCACGGTTTAATGGCCTGGGAGGAGGCGCACAACCCAAGCAGAAGCCTCGTGCAAAGAAAACATGAAGCATTCGCTCGTTCCAGATGAGTGATCTGAGCTCAAAAGAGGACCTTCCAAGCAGAATATTGGATCCTAACAGGCTTCCCCATTGTTATCTGTCACATGGCGGATATCATGGACGTCCATTGCACGCATCCCATGTATTATGGACGTATGTATTCAGTTTTATTGTTCATGATAGTGCTCAACTCCGTAGGCATCCGGTCAGCTAGGCGCGTGACAATTCGTCGCGAGACATTTCGAGGTGGTCAATTCATCGAATGACATTTTGCAACTGTGCTGTTTCACAGATTGATTTTTTCGCCGCCTAACACATTCGGCGAGTACTTTTCGACGAAGTTACTTTTTTACCGCCGACCCTGTAGCCGAATTTCACTGAAAAACTGTACGGTCGGGGTACGAAATCTTTATCTTGGTGACTCAATCATGGACTCTTATCCCGATATTACTGGCCTAACTTTGCGAGACAAACCCAAACTAGTCAAGGATGGGTATCCTTACGTGCAAGACAAGAGAGGAAGAAACGAGACTATTTACTGGAGATGCGAAAGAGAGACGAGCTGTCCTGCAGAGGCCACATGAAGAGCCCTGCAAAGCCACGACGAGTCAGGACTCTTTCCACCAGATCGTCCCGGGGTTACTGGGGAAGTGGTGAGCTGTGGTGAGCTTCCGCAGCTCTGAAGCGAACAGGTCGCAGAGCCCGAAATACAGCCGACTATGTTCCGCCCACCCCAGCTAACTTGGGCGCACCGGTGGTACTGGACATGTACTTCCGAAGTACCGGTACATGTACATGTATATGTACATGCAAACGTACGGCGAGGAGGCATTCCTAATGTCTCAAGGTATTTTTGATAATGAAGGTCCGTATAACATTTTCACTAGCATTGCGTAACATTTTCACTATGTATTTTGGCGCCAGGTATGTAAGAGACAAGAATTGCGCGAAATGCTCTGTACTCGTAGTCGAAAAAACCCTCTCCTTATTGGTGATTGCCTAAACACTAATTCGGCGAAGTGTGCCCGTCCAGAATTGTCCTAGCGTCGACGCGTTTTCGACCAGTCGTCGGCAATGAAAATGTCACTCGCCGAAATTGTTTTCGGCGTACTGACCTAGAACTGTATGTGTGAGCTTGTGTATTTGCGTGTACGCGTGCGTGTGTGCTCGTGTTCATGGGTGTGTGTTTGCGGGTATGTGTATGTGTATCTGCAAGCGTTTTTGTTAGTGTGCGTGTTCGTGTTTGTGAGTGCGTGTTCCTGTGTTAGGGGTGCCGCTTAACTTGGGACTTTCACCATGAAAGTCAGCGAATATTCCGCTACAAGTTGTGAAATTTTCACGTCAGGGTAAACCTTCCTCTTATACAATGCAAGAGTGTTGAGGTTAGACCATATGGGGAGGGGTAGTGATAGATAGGAAATGTTTCTTTTTCCTAATGCACTATATCTCGGCAAGACGGAGTGGAAAACGGAACATCACCACCGTTGTGCGATGTGGTCAAATCTGTATTCGAGTCATACTTTCCTGATTATTGAATGGTTATCTCTAGTTGGCTAGCTGCGGCTGTCGCGAGAAAGAAAATCGATCACTTCAAAGGAGCCTGATGTTTGCGCTCGACCTACAAAACAAATGCATGCTTCGGGCCTGTCGCGGCGAGCAAGACATGTAATGTATGATAAATTTATACAAAGAGAAAGACCAAGGAACTACAAGTTACGCTATACTGTCCACTAACACCACCAGTTACTAAACAATCAGCTCATGCGATAACATTGCACGACACTGACCGACGGTACTGACGTTCTACAACTAACTGGCTAAGAGCTCTAGCACATCTTGGATGCACACTCCAACAGCCTTTCAACTTGGAAGGTTCTAAGTTATAGAAATAACATAAAGAGGGGAAGGTGAGCGCAACCAAGATAAGCACGAGCTGAAAGTCTCAGCTGTGAAGGACATTGGCGGATGTTCATGCATGTCAATGACGATACTGGCAAGACCATTGGACAATACGGTCAAACCACGATTCAAGAACGCAAAGCAACATTGCACACAACTTGTGTGGCTCAAAAGATGCATGAGCTGATTGTTTAGTAACTGGTGGTGTTAGTAGACAGTATAGCGTAACTTGTAGTTCCTTGGTCTTTCTCTTTTGTATAAATTAAACCTTGGCTCTCCATCTGAATGTATGATTACATTATTAATAATTTATAAGAACCGCGGGTAGCCTGATTCATTTCCTACCTGGGTGTGTCTATGCGGGCGCTACTGGGAGAATCCAGACTGAGATTGAGCGACAACAGGGATGATCCACTCATCCAGCTGTGAATGAGCTGACTTGTGGATAATGTCTATGGAATCTGTGTTGCCACAACAACTAACACCCCAGGGATTTTGGAGAGGCTTGGCAAGACCGGGTACAGGACAGCATCTTACCAAAGCTCTTGGCAATGATGCACCATCTGGAAACTCGTGGGGAATGTATAACCAACACATGCACTCGGCATACAAAACAACAAGGACAATCAAGGCTTGTTTGCTGCTACTTCAAGTTTCATGCTCTAGTAATCATCAGGCAGTGTGTACTTTAGCGCCCCTTGGCCTTAGGTTTAATCTAAATTCAGGTGCCAGTTTTCTCTACCTTTAGCTATTAGTATTATCATGATCGAAATTGAAATTTAAGAAACTTCACTTCTCAACTCCAAACTCCAAAAACGGTCTCTTTACTGTGATTCAAATATTTAAATTTCCATTACACCAAATGTTCGGGCCTGACCCATCATCAGAGGTACTGATTAATAATTAGTGAAGTTTCCTGAATGTGTAAATGGCTGCGTTGGAGTTTGCGGACAATTAGAAAAATTGAAATGTCACCGGAAATATCGTAGTATGCTATTATCATCGAGGCTTGAGCCTTTGGACCCACGAAATCCGACCCTGTGTTACACCACTGTAGTTGAGTAGCGCGTGAACAAAACAAAAAAGTACTTTCGCCCGTACAAGAGACTTGAGAGTTGAGACAGACCGTATAGTAACGCGTGACCATGCCTGGTGCAGCGGTACAAATGCATGGATCCATGACTAGGATATGGAGTGGATGCATTTCATGGCACCCCCCCCCCCCCCACTCCCATGTACAGAAAAACCTGGTTTAAGTGGCCACCCCACCGTGCAAGCAAAAGCGGTCGTCAAAGCCAGGTGGTCTTTAGAACCAGGTCTCACAGTTTCTGTGTAGAACTATCCGTGCATGGAAAAACGGTCGTTAAGAAAAGGTGGTCGCTAAACCCAGAGGTCGCTTGCTCCAGGTTTTACTGTACCGGTGTGTACTTGACAGCAGCAGGGGTAACTTGACAGATGTGTGACAGCTCAGTTCGACCAGACCAGCTAATGCACCTACCATCCCGGTAACGGATCATCTCCTGCGCGTCCTTTAGACCCTTTGGCCCCATTTTTGACACGCACCCTGCAATGTTGATCCTCGAAGTCCCAGCACCCGTTGAGCAGTTGTGACAAGCAAGTTAAAGTTTGCTGTCTCTAGGTTGTGTAGAACACTGCATGCCTCCACAGCTGCCGACCCTTCACTGGACTGCCGACCGGATCGGTTGTGCAGGGACCTCTGCCACAGACTGCTTCCATACTGGCATCACACCTTTCCTTAGTCCGAACAAGCAGCGTTGGTTATGAGGATGAGCGATTCAATTGGCTATTTGTTGATTTCAGTTTTCCGCACCAGAAACCTAAACCTGTGTTGTATCGCTATCCTGTCTCAATATCATTTTTTACTCTTCTAGTCTATGTCAGCCACCTTTCGTGGCCCCTACCATTGCCCCTTCTCCTTTTCCCTGGGTAACTCAGAGGTGGAGTTGCATTTGACGTGAAGAACTCTTTCTGCCAGTGGTTGAGGCGAAGTTGATCCCTTGTAGAGGAGACTTTCGCCGACTCTGCCCTCTATTCGGCCTCTGTCGGCATGGCTCCCGATCCGAAGCGCTTCGCATTCCTGTGCGCTGGGTACGCGCTGTTCCTGGGTGCCCTGCCCTTAGCGTACTGGACGATGTACGCACTGCTCAACGGACCATCGACGACGAGTGTTCAGGAAACGGCCACTCCGGTGCGACCGTATTGCGGTGCTGGCCTTGCAGATGACGAAAACAGAACGCGGTCCAATTGCAGCGTCTGCTTGCCCGAGGAATGCACCACCGGCAATCCACTACTCTTTCTCGGCCTCGACCTGGATTTGCCCGAGGCCGACAACGGGGAGGGCGCTGAGGGCTACCTCTCGCAGCAGAAGGCACTATCGACACTGGGAGGACTGCTCGCCGATGCCAGTCGCGATGACAGTCAGCAGTTGGTGAATTTGTACGTGAGGTTCAGCACTCGACCCAACGAAACGACCGACGCTTTGTCGCCCGGTGCATGCAGTGTCAACGACGTAACGGATGAGATCGCTGGGGCGCTACAGCATAGCCTGGTGTTCACATTTGTGCAGCGTCCATCTATGTATATGATTGCACAATACGGTGCGTTCAAATCGTGGATGTCATTTGGCCTGCTCGACCTACTTGCAAGTGACTATCCTCGCTCTCATCCGCTTCAAATTAGTGTGGGACCGGACGCGGCGGACATGGATTGCTGGGACCGGGCTTCGGTCATACAGCGCAAGGCTATGCTTCACTACAAGGTCGCTGGGATCGCCAATGACCTGATAGCGTACGCCAGAAACCTGACGACGGCCGCCGATCATCTTCCGGGAGTTCTGCTTGTCAGGCAGCCAGACACTGAAGCGAGGCAGCACCACGCTGGGGCATGGTTCTTACCCTTTGCAATGCCCAAAGGCGGACACCTCTACACGCTGTGTCAGCAATACAACCCTTCTGCCATCGGAAGCGTGGATCTTCCGCAGGTCGAGTGCAAGAACAACAACTCGGAGTTCAGTAGATGCCTAGACTGGGAGATGATAGCGGACAGGACGCCTATGAGTGTTCAGGCCCTACCCGTGCACTTGCACTACCTGTGGATATGGCTACTCGTGGTGTTCGTCCTCCCAGCACTGCACATGCATCTCGCTGAAGGAGCCGTGGGGCTCTGCTCCAGAGACGCCAAGCCCAAGGTTGCGCGCATCACCACCGGCTTCCAGTCGCTACGCCTGCTGAGTAGCACGATGCCACTGCGCTCCAACCTGCGCTGCTCATTCCCAGCGCAGCTGGCACCCTGGAGAGTTGTGCTACGCCGACCCACAACAGCGGATGACGACTGCGGAGAGACAAGAGAGACGTGGTGGCATGCCATGATTGTCCTGCTTCTCCTGGCTCTACTGGTCGTGGCCTACTTCATATTGGCTCTGCCAGTTCTGCTTCAGTCCACACACTCGCCGTTCTACCACATCTATGACAGCTTGCCCACGGACTGTGGACACATGAGCACACGAGGCCTTGCAGCCGCAGCTCTGGTTCTGGGCCCGATTCTGACCCTATTCGCACTGATATCGTGCTATCTCGTGGCAACCGGCAACCAGCCTCAGGGCCGCCAACTCGTTCGGGACGAGATCCAGAGAGCCACAGGTCTGGCGGGGGCGCATGTACGGCAGTATGCCATGCTGCTGCCGACGTTGCCGGAAACAATGCTCGGCCAGATCTTCGACAAGTGCTTTCTATTCTACGCGTATCGCTCTGTGCTTGTGTGCACGCAAAGCATGCATGAAGTGATCCCTGCCGAAGCCCGACTCCTGCTGATATTCCTTGGCTCGTACTGCTTTGGACTAAGCGCGCTGGGACTCGTCTACTTCGCCTCGCAGTACGCGATGATGGCGGTGGCCACCCTGACGGCTGCTCTACACATGTACTTTTTGCGAACTGTGCTTGCTCTGCTGCTGCTCAGAGTGCTGGTTTGGCGTGCTGCCTGGCCGCGGCATGACTACACGACCCTGTTCCCGGATGTGTCCCGATGTCACAAAGCTCTCGTCGAGGCCGTGTGTCGCCTTGAAGTCGGCGAAGTCGAGGACGTCTTCGGCCAGCAGCAGCCGTCACAAGAGAATAGTCGAGACGACACTGAGCTGGAAAACGGACACGGCAACCCGATTACACCGGAGCCACATGCCACTCAGCTAAGCCTTGATGAACTACGAGAGCTCGTCAGTGGTGCTGCGACCAAGACCTTTCTTCGCGTCTATTTTCTGGCCACAACCGGAGAGGAATCGCCGCGCTTGTCGGATAACGATGCGCAAGTCGCGTACGAGACGCTTCTGTGCGACATACAACGCCAAGCGCAATCCTGGGTTCAGCGTGTGGTTCTGTCCGTTCTGCTCGCCTTGGCTTTGTTTCTGCTGCTGGATGATGCCATGTTTGTTCTTCGACAAACCGTACAGCTCACACTACAGCAGAAGATAGGTACACTACTGGGCGTTTGGATTGGGTGTTTGCTGCTATCACATCTGGATAACACACCGCAGGTGCCTGACACCAACAGTCGTCAACTGCTCGCCACCGCACACCGATTCCTACTGGAGCAGATCGCTCCTGTTCCGGCGGAGGGTGACGCGACCCCAGCCGGGCCCCTGCGACCGTTCGCCGGCTCGACCAGGACTTCGCAGACGGATCTTCACGATGCGAGGCGTCGCGGGCAGACACCGAGCGAGGCGCTGCGTCACCCTTCGGGATTGATTAACTCGACGAGACGACCAACGCGTCGTGGCCACCATCCGTCCAGCGGCCTCTTTGAACAATTGTGATCCTAAAATGCCCCCAGGTAAAATGCTACCTTTCGAATTTCGGCAAATTCAACAATATGTACATCGGATGGTGCTAATGGTCAAGACAACAGCCACCTACATCTACTTTCATTAACGTTTAGTTAGATGCCGTTTTAGGTTTAGATTTTTACGCTGGCCAGTGTTCAATAGGAACTAGAAAAAATTATATTAGTGACCTGCTGCATACTGTTTTGTGATTTTGTAAAAACAACAAAGCCATTCATTAGCAATGTTTTTCTTAGCAATCTGTCCTCTTATGTTGAATTCTGTCCCGTTTGTCCAAAAGATACGCTCAACAAACAGCCTATGCGAGTCCAAATGCGATATTTAGTTAGAAGAAAGTAGTTATGGATACTCCTTGTACATACTTCAGTTCACAAATTGGAGATCCCCCAGATAGGCGTCAGTCTTTGGGTAAACCTGAAATAAAGGTTATACACATGTATCCTCTAGGCAAGCATCAGGCGTCAGCGGCCCCATTGTTAGGCATTCAGTCCCTAATCGCCCCAATTTTTCGCGCATTTCACGTCAAATTTGGTGTAAAACTCCAAATTTCGACTCAGGCACTCTTGGGTAGTCATGGGCGGGTAATGCTAGTTATTTGCTGGGATAATGCTAAAGGCAATGCTCATAATATGAGGATATAATGCCACTTATAATTTTCATTCTACTCCATAATGCCCGTTTGAAAGTTGGAAAAGTCGATTTAAGAAGGCCGTCTTGGATCAAGGCCAAAGCGTAGAAGAAAAAACTTTAACAGCAGTGAGCATGTTGTCTGAAACAATCCACTGAGAAGGTTGATTTGCAACGTCAAGTCTCCGGACGAAGTCGGATGGGTTCAGATGCACTGTTTTCGGAACTGGACCTAGCCAGCTTCATGCATGGCACCGTTGTCGACCGGCAATTATGCTTGTAATGCCAATTTTGCATGCGAAATGGTGTTATAATGCCAGCATTATGCCACCTGGAAAAAAGGGACTATAATGCCAGCCATAATGCTAGCATTACCCGCCCATGCCTACTCATGGGGGGTTATATACTCTTGCTGTAAGAGATATGACCGATACTGCATGTACTGTATGCGCGGTGGGGTATCAAAAGACTCAGCGAGCCGTAAACATACAAACTGCATTATAGTGTAGTTGGTTGCATCCTATGTACTCCTACTTTGAGAAATGCAACATAGCATGCTTATGCAGCCAAGGCTCTTGACACACAACCTCATCATATCCTCACGATGGAGGCATTTTGGGCAACTACCCCCCCCCCCCCCCCATACTACAAATAGAACTCACGAAACACCACTGGGCAATTTTTTCACCAAGAAGTACCTTCCTGTTCGCCTCACAGCAATTACTTTATCCGGTGCAAAAAAATGTAATAAAGGTTTTTTGAAAATTGAATTTGATCACTATAGGCGATAACTATAGACGATTATTACTATACGCGGGAACTCTGTATACTAGTACCTAGGGCGCGTTTGGTTGGTACGACCTTGAACAGGATGCACCAGACCAGTGCGTTTGGTTGGGACTGCACCTGTTCTAGGTCGGCCAGAACATGTTCTGCTTGCTCTGGGCTCGAGGTCGGAGCAGACCGAGCAGTTTCACTTTTTCACAGTGAAACCTTTTTATTTATTTTTTTATTTTTATTTTTTTTTACTGAATACCACAGTACCATCAGATGCTGCACAGCGGGGGCGGTGGCATATTGGATGGAAGTGGGGGCGGGGCAAAAGTAACTCCTCCGACCAAAGGTCTCGGAATCATGGTTACTCCTGTGCGCCGATACATAGGAGAAAAGAAACATGTGCATCCAAGAGGGGAGCACCGGCTTTGCAAACGATAATGGGGAGAATTTGAGATTGGGATAGGACAAAACAATAGTAAAAGCAGTGCACCGTAGGAAGATGGAGTGAACTGATAATCGGATTTTAAGGCTGAGCGAAGGGGATCAAAGAGGGGTAGATGGGAGCTGGAGTGCGGTCAGTATAATTAGGCTGGTGTGTTGGCAGAGATCATAGCCTGTCTGTGGCCCACTCCCACTTGCTGCGCCGCAAGTGGTCGTTGACGTTTTTCTTGAACGTGTGCATGCCTCTGCGAGAAGGGGGAGACTGCAGAAGGGTAGGTGGGAGCTGATTCCACGTTGCGATGAGGGAGTGGGGAAATGAGCGGAGCGTGTTGTTTCGTGCCTGAGGAGGAAGAATACTGGTGAGTTGCGATGGATGATGTGTTGCAGATCTGGTTGTCTCACGAGGAGGCATGCGGTATAGCGGTGCGGCTGCTGATGGCGGGAGAATGGCTTTCACCATTTCCGGACCCTCCACAAAGTGACCTGGCGGAAACATCGTTTTTGGTCCCAATGGATCACGTGCATACGCTGCTTTTGGGTTGGATTCGTTGTGCTGTACAAAGTGACCATGGTGACCCAAACGCATTTTTGAAGAATGCACCAAGTTTGGCACATTTTTCACAAAAATGTGCTCTGTTTCTGGAGTAGCGTTTGGTTGACATGAGGCTGCTCCATGTGCACCAGCTGTTCGATCCTGTTCTAGATCGTACCAACCGAACGCACCCTTAGGAAAAATATGCTAAACTAATTGGTGCA